CTAATTTGATGGTGGCAGTTTCGGAGCCCCCAACATCGCGGCCGCCGGTCTTTCTCCAATATTTTCCGTCCTGCTCAAGCGCTTCGGGCCTCGTACAACCCTGATTGGATGGGCCGTGTTTACAGCAGTGATCATATCACTTGGCATTATCTTCGTTCGGCCTCGACGTACAAGTAAATCGGAAATGGAGGCTGCAGCTCGACAATCATCGTCTACTACTAGAGTTTTCAGAAAGCCAGTGTTTTGGCTCTTTGTTCTTTCGATGACGCTGCAAAGTCTGGCAAACAATTTACCGGCAAACTACCTGCCCAGTTACGCCACGGACCTGGGTATCTCACCGGAGAAAGGCGCCTTGTTGGTCACATTCCTGTCGCTGTTTGGGATCATCGGTCAAATCTCGCTAGGAGCCTTGACGTAAGTAAAATGGACCTCAAATCTACGTATGACTCGTTGCTAATAAATAGATACAACAGAGATGCGATCGGACCTTTGATACCCATGCTGCTTAGCACCCTCGTCAGCAGCTTTGCAGTCTTCGTTGTATGGGGATTGGGTATATACTACTGGAATATGGTGATCACTTCGATCTTATTTGGGGCATTTGCCTTTAGCTTCATGGTTCTGCGAAGCCACATGGCGGCAATTGCGGTTGATGATCCCGAGCGGCCAGCCGAGGAACTCTTCGTTTCCGGCATTCTCCTATTTACCAGAGGTGTCATAGGTGTGGCGTCAGGCTACATAGCTGCGGCTGTTCTTCAAAACAGCGAGAGTATTGGAGTACAGCCTGGGTACGGCGCTGGAAAGTGGCGATCATTCATCATTCTTCTAGGGACGACAATGACCGCAGCTACTTTAGGAGCCTTTGGTCTATTAAAGAAACGGAAGACAGCTTAGAAACTTGCAATTTCCTCCCCAACGATCAATATATCAAATCGATTCAAGCATCAGTAGATATACTTGAAAGTGGTATTTGAAGCCTGCCTTCACAATGGGTGCTCATAGGACACAAATTTGATTCCGGTGATTAAATGGATTTGACAGCATATCGGGCAATCGCTCGTACTTGGCCAGATTGGAGAAATGAAATCGCATATTTTCTTTCTAGCACAACTCTCGAAGGTTCTCCCTATGTGTGTCTTTGAACCAAGACGATCGCATACTTCAGATGTCGGTTGTTCATTCACCAAGGTAGTTGAGAATTCAGGTTTGGTTTTTAGAAGACCTTGCAGCTTGGCAATATTTTGGTGAAAATAACCGAACATATAGCGTTGAGCGTATAATTCTAGTCTACAATTTCAAAGTAGAGATGGTGCCAGTTTCTTTGTTACACTGGCCAGCGCGTCTGGATCTCGGTGGCCATGAATGGAATAGTATTCGCAGTTTTTCACAAGAGTTCCCTTCCCAGTCTCTGCGTCAAAGACGTAGCAGCCATTCTTGACAATATTGGGCGGCGTGTAGAGATGGAGCGAGACAGCAAAATCATTGCTGTTGTTCCACATCTTGTGCACACCATGGTCGTCGCTCATGTAGGCCACATGGTTCTCAGTGTAAACTGATTCCAAAGCCACATGCATGCTTTCATTGGTATCATTCAAGGCGGCTGAGTCGGTTCCCCGATTGGAGTCCTGAGGAAAGTCGTAGCGTGTCTCCGTCAGGCTTCCTTTGAGGATCTTCATCAAGCAGTGCGCGTTGCTATGACTGTGGATGGGGCTTCCCTTTCCGGGTGTCCAGACGAGGACCAACTATATCCACATAAATTAGAAACAGACGAGCATCTTTCATGATCACAGGTCTTACCAAGTTACTCTTGCCGTTACCCTCATCTACAAGGTTTCGGGTATATGCCATGCTAGGATTGGCAAATGCAAAAGCTCCCCATTCTTTCTCATCGCTGGTATAATTCTTCATGAGATCCATCAACAAGTCAAGGTCGATATCATCACAGGTCAGCCCCGAAGAACCGAGAGCGTCTTTAAGAGCTTTCACAAGCTCATCGAACTTGCCAAGATGTTTGAGGCTAGTTGTGTCTTCAGAATGCGGCATTGTAAAAAGCTTGAACAAGTGTTGACACCAGTCAGGATCAAGAGGGTGCGTGAAACGGACGAGAAGGCGGCAAATATAATCTTCTGTTTTCAACCTCTGCATGTAGTATATAAGCCATGCTACCAGATATATTTTGATACCTCGAGATCAAAATAGCTCTAGATGTTACGGAAATTCCAATCTCTATTCATTTCTCGAGTCAGCCTAGTCGAGCTGCCTGCTACCGGCCTGTTCTCAGTCGGGGGCTGACGTGCATAATGATGGTGGCAATTCTGTGATTATGCCGAGAATAATTTGGTTATCAACTCGCTTCGTTTTCATACTTGAGTCGAGCAGGGAAGCGGAAGTAACCAGTGATGTGAAAGTGATTGCGCCGAGAAGTGGCTATGAGTCCATTCCGATCCTTCCCCCACATCCTCACCGGGCCATCCTCTCCCTGCAATGCAACGCTTACTATCCCGTTCCACCGCGTTTTCGTCTTAGCGGCGAACGCCTCCCAAACTTTGTATTTGCACTTTCCTTTTCCAGTCATAAGTTTGTCGTGATTGTAAGACATATGAGCATGCGGATATCGGGTACCGATTGCCGACAGCTTCTGAGGGAGTGAAAGCGCTCCTGTGCGACAGCCGCGTGGGTACTGGAGAATACAAGCTCAACGCTCCCACATAAGAGTCTAGCCCGGGTAAGACACCGCCCCTGCCCACCCCCTCGCCGAGCGCTCGCAGCCGCCTTGTCCCGACTTTCAGCCTCGGCTGGACCTTGGCGCCTAGTGATACATGTACGATATTCACCAGACGAGAAGTTGAACATCATAGGCTTGAAGATAAGCCCATAGAGCGTAGGGGTTCCCCCAAAAGTTCCGTAATTTAGGCAGTCAGCGGACGCAGCCGTGAGGCGCATTTTGCTAGCACTTACAATCTGAGACAAGGAGTCTGAGAAGGCATCGGAATACATCAAGAGTACATTGTAGAAGAAGAGAAGATATATCTTATAGCTTGAAGGGGAGACAATATACAAATTCGAGATGGTTGTCATGTCATTGGAATGTATCCAGCTGAGGCCGAGCGAACAAGATCATGGCCTGATTTCAGGTGAGACAAAGTAGATTGGAAGATGCATAGACTTAATTGGTCTCTGTGACGGTTATAGGATCAGCAAGGCTTTGAAATGACGCGTAATCCTGTGTAGCTATACGTAATATCGGAGTTGAGCAAAATTGTCGGCCGCGAAGAAAGACGATTCAAAGATTGCGACTCGTTATCATATAGTTATATGAATTACCTATCCAGCGAGCCCGCCTACCTTAAAACCTACTCCTCTGCACCGTCAACAGTCGTAGTGCGTTTACAACATCGCATCTGATTCCTCTCACCTCTTCAAGATGACCGTGGCTGGTTCAAAAAAGATGGATGGTGCTGCTGCCCCTTATGCACCGACTGCGAACCTAGATACCGTGGTTTTTTCCAAAGTACTAGACCGCGACCCAGCGACCATTGACAAGATTATCTCTGCCTGCGAGAATGTTGGCTTCTTCTACTTGGACATTTCGGACCAGTATTCTGCTACAATGCTAGAGAACCTTGACAGGTTGAACATTGTCATGAAGGACTGGTTCGACCAGCCAACCGCCGCGAAGCGCAAAGAACTGGCTATCAGCATGGCATCTCATGGGTTTGTCAAAGCCGCCCTTCTAAGCCAGGTGACCGTTGATTTGCTTGCTGAAGCTAATTAAAATGTTGCCCTTAGATACAAGCCAATCGGTTCACAGGCTGGGACGCACGGAGGTCGAGATGGCTGGGAAGTTCTCAAGGTAAATATCGGTAGGACATGTGGTCACAGACAACGACGATTCTAACAATTGTACAGACGGGTAGCTTTGAACTGGCCGGTCGATGGGGCTTACCGCCAGTGGTAGAAGACAACCTCCAGACATTCATCTCTTTCCAGAGCCAGTGTCACTACATTACTCGAGTGCTCCTTGACCGTATCTCGAACGCCCTGGGGCTGAAGGGAGCGCAGAGCCTCAACCACTTCCACCGAAGCGACTGTCCCTCCAAGAGTGCCCTTGCATTCCTGCATTATATCCCCATGGATCCAACTGGAGGTTATGCCGGACATAATGTTCACACAGACTATGGCACCTTGACACTTGTCTTTGCGCCCCAGTGGGGTTTGCAAGTCCTTTCAACTCCCGAAATATCCTCACCGTCCTCAGCCTCCTCCTCGGCGTCTCACGATTCAGACGAAAGCCTCGACAGTGGCTACCACAGAGGACACAGTCAGGGCCACGCCAACAATGAGCCCAAGAAAGAAAAGGCGGAAACACCCATGGAGTGGCAGTATGTCGAGCCACGTCCCGGCTGCGCGGTGGTCAATGTGGCTGATGTGCTACGGTTCTTGACGCGCGATAGACTGAAGTCGGCAGTGCATCGGGTCCTTCCGTTGCCCGATGTGGATCGCTATTCTGTCACCTACTTCCTAAGACCTAGTGATGATGTTGAGTTTATCGATGGAGAAGGTCGGCTGACAAATGTCATGGATTGGTACGACCGCAAGAACAACATGTATGAGGCTTCTTATGGGAATCAGGATCGGTCTTTGCTCATCGGCGGGTTGTATAAGGAGGTGTAATGTTTCTTTAGAAGGATTGTTCTCTGTTCGACTTCACAGCTTCCCGAACGGGTATGTACCAAGTACGTACTTGTGTCAAAGTAGTGCTTCTTCTTTCCAATCTTCTGTTCGCTCTCTCCGTAGCCTCAGGTCATCTAACTTGACTGTATGTTCTCATCAATACAGTAATTGATGGTTGTCGTCAAGTAGAAGCTTGCATGCCAAACACCTTGGTACCAATCATTATCTTAATGACATATATACACCTGACATAAGTACCAGAATACTCCGTGGTGAAACAAGTAGTCCTATTTGACCTCTTGGAGCCTGACCAGGCGGCATCCATGCTACCCCGAAGGTACGTGTGCATGAAGCTTACGAAGTTCGACAGCTTCCTGGCCCTCGGCTCGATATCGATCATCCGCTTCCGTTCCTGGCTTGAAGATAGGAAGAATCATTGTCTCGCTATCATGATCGCTGTTGATACTTGTTGCTCGTACATTCGAGAGGTTGGCACTCTGAAAGACTCCGTCGGATTTTACGTAGTGTGCAGCCGAGGGATGGTAGGATGCAAATGATTTTGCAACATCCCGTATCAGTACTCTCAGTACCGGTATGGAGGCTGCAACAATCGTCGCATTGGGTTCTGCGTGAATCCAAATGGTCAAGACGGCAAGCCGGCGAGAAACTGCGAGAGAGATAGCTTTGTCAATATTCACTTGCGACTCAAGGTAAGACACATAGGGACAACACTGACACTCGGTTCCGACAACTCTCGTGACTTCAAGAGCTTCCACAGCTTTGAGAACAGCAACGATTCCTGCCCTACCATTGTAATCAGTGACCCTGAAGATAAGGTAGGTGCCCCGAGTAGTTTGGCAGACTTGTTGAGGCAAAGAATGAGTGGTTTTCTCACTTACAGCACACCGATACTCATAGCAATCGCGACGCCGGCTTTCTCCCGTTTGACCATTTGTAAGTCCCATACCGAGTAAATTGGAATCAGAGCTAGACCGAAATCTGTCACCGCGGAGACAACTATTCCCAATAAGACGTTAGACCAAGACAAGTCCAGCTTCAGTAGAAGTACTCACTAGACCCGATGATATTCATCCAGATGCTGCTGTTGATTGACCAGCACGAACCAAGTGAAAACGCGCTCTCAGCTCCACAAGTCGGTCTCCAGACCAAAATTGTGTGCACAAGGCACATTATGTCTGTCATGCAAGTGATCAGGATAATCACAGGACGCAACCATCCTGTCGTGATTCTCAGCAGGGTGAGGGCGAATGACGTCTTGCTGAAAGCTAGGGAAAGCTTCATTGCATTGTCGGATGCCAAGTTTGCGGGGGTAATGATGGGCCCTGACAGAGTGGTAACTAGGTAACCAGATCCGAAAACGACTGTTTGGAGCGAGACCCCAATCATTAGGAACATCCATCCTATAATGAGGAGATAATCGTCCCACCACATCATTCTAGTACGAACTGATCTACAGTAGATTCGGAGCACGAGAAAGATGGTTGACGTTGATGCCATTACCCATATTGATGCGAGCACTGTCGTCGTCAAAGATGGGTCTCCGGAAGGCAAGGGGTACTGTGTTGGCATGGTTAGCTACACTATGCTTGAAGGTTCCACGGCGTAGATAATTGATAGAGGAAGGAAGCAAAGGTTAGAATGCGCCCTAGTCCTAATCCTCGAGCACACGGGTTACTTTATGGGGGCGGGCGTAGTGCTCAAGTCTTCTTTCTCAGGTAGCTTTAACATTGCCTGCGACCTCTAAGGGACGTGTTGGTTTGCTAGCCTGATTTCCGACGTCTCAGAACCTGGCGAATTCTTTCAAGGGTGTCGTGTTAGCAACTGAGCAAGGATCTCCAATCTGCAAGTACTGTCGAGAAGAGATTTTGTATTCCCTTAGAGCTATTGAAGACCCTCATCTGTACTGGTCACAAAGAATTCCGTGGAAGTGATCGTAATAAATCCAGAGCTGGCAATGGAAAGGAGCCACTTATACTGGAGTAAGACCGCAGAAGAAATGACGAGACAGCAAGATAAAGAACGAAAAGGGGCAGTGTTGGAGTTACGTTCGTGATTGCGCTTTTCACCAACGCGACTGACTTCCTACGCCCGCCCGAGAATGAGAAAGAACTTTTGTTCATCCAGCAAGTCCACCTGAGTCTCAACCTATTGCCTGTACAGTCAATACTTAGACGCCTCCTGGTTGAATTGTCCATTTTAAGCCCCTTATACTACTACACATCCTGACACTCCCTTCGTCGAACACTGCAACAGACTGCGGAGGTTGAGGCTATCTTCTCACCAGTCGCAATTCTTGATATCGCACATTCAACCAATATTCCCAGCAACGGAGGCGTAGCTTGAGTCACTGATCAATAGCTGGTCCATGTTGAGATTACGCCTTACTCTCTTCCGGTGGAAAGGTCGGGTCAACTTGATGCTGTTGGTTTGGCCCGGAGAAACTTCCTCTCTGGGTCCATGTTTGGTCAGGCAAATAACAGTCCGTACATGCATAATGAGGATGTCCCCAAAGTCTGGATGGATCCAGTCCCCGCTGCGCCGCAGCATTTCTGCTCGGCGATTCTGTTGGTCCACGAGGATATGCAAGCGGTGGCCAATGAAAAGGAAAGAAAGCATCGCTTAGTCTAACAACCAACAGTAAGAAACGGATTAGGCTTAGTCTATGTTTGCCTGCATTCGGAGTGAATCCGCGAAGGACAAGCTCAGCAGAGCTCGCCGAGCTGCTGTGCCGTTTCCAATATTTGAATTTTGGAAATGTAACAGAAAATACGACGCGTACAGCGATACAAGATACGCTGTCCAATAGATTGCAGTGATTTACGAAAGGTCGTGGCTACTGACAAGTGCTGGAAACCGAAAGCGAATGACTCCCCTTGACAGCCCTTATTATGATCGAGCATCGGTGCCGATGAGTTTACCGAATGCTGATCGATGGATGTCTTAAGAAGACAGACATCGGCCACATCGTTTGATTTGGGTTTCGCCAAGATCTCTTCCATCAACGAATGTGATGCCTTCAACAGTGTGGTACACCGCTGCAGCGGTTCTATTCTTTGTTCCAACATTTGCAGCATCCGCGTTCTTTGGACCTGCTTGCGGCATTCGGTCCAATGCTGCATCCCAACTCACAGGGGTCTGTCAGCTTCTAGATGTGAACGTCTTGGCCTTGAGACTAGGATGCTGACCGACTCATCTTGCAGTGCGATATCCTCATCCGCGCTGGGCTCTCTGGCCAAATTTTCTTTTCGAACGACACGGAGTACGCCGTCACCATTCAGTCTTACTACTCTGGCGATGTTCAAGACGTTCGACCTTCATGTATCCTCAAGCCCACGACTTCACAGCAGGTTTCGGACGCCATCAAGCCACTTAACCGCGAAGCCTTGGGCTGTTGGACGGTGGCCATACGTAGCGGTGGCCACTCACCATTCCCGTCGAATAATGCTGCCAATGGCGTTACCATCGATCTCGGTGGCATCAATTCCATCAGCTATATGGAGAATCCTGATTCGCCGGGACACGGTGTTGCAGCGCTCGGCCCCGGCGGGCGCTGGAGTGAAGTGTACTCTGCCCTTGAGGAACAAGGGGTGATGACAATGGGCGGACGCGAAGGTTATGTTGGTGTGGGAGGGTTCCTGCTTGGCGGAGGTAAGGTGAAATCTCAGCTGAATCACGAGGTAATTAACTGAAACATTGGTAGGCTTCTCATGGTATTCTGCGAAGTACGGCCTTTCCGCCGATAATGTTTTGAACTACGAGGTACAGATATTCATGACGAGTGCGGTTCCAAATCGTGCGGAATCTGCAGTGCTAACAGCGTATTTGCGCAAGTGGTGCTCGCTAATGGTAGTCTCATTGAAGCGAACGCGACGGCGTACGCGGACCTTTTCAAGGCTCTGAAAGGTGGCATGAACAATCTTGGTGTCGTGACAAGGTTCGACCTGCGAACTTTCCCTGCAAATGACATTTACGGTGGTATCGTCGCATTCGCATATGCAGACAAGGAACCCGTCGTGAAAAGCTTCATCACTATGGTCAGAGAGAACGAGGAAAATCCTGCCGAGAGCGGATTTGTTTCCTTGTCGTGGGGTCCTGGGCGAGATCCTTCAGTCGCCTTCATTACCGCCAACGTTGATGGCGTCAGCAAATCGTCCTCCTTCGCCGGACTCGCGGACTTGGGGCCTCTTATTGACACCAGATCGGCGGTCCCGAACTCAGAATTCGTCAAGCAGCTCCAAGGCACACTCGGTTTGTACAATGTGTGGTTTACGCAGAGCTTCCACGCAACCATGGAGATGGGCAGGAAAGTTCTTGAAGTTTTCGAGGCTCTCATCGCGGACCTGGAGGGAAAACTCGACGAGAATGCCACGATAATATTTGTGATGACTCCCCTCTCAACCAACTACGCTCACAACGGGCCTAATATCCTCGGATTAAACGAAGAGCTGACAGAGCCATCCGTCGTGCTTCAAGTCGAGTGCTTGCTTCCAACCCCAAATGACGAGGCATTGTTGACTGGAAAGTTTGAGGCAGTCATAGATGAGATTTCCGAGCATGCTGCAAGGACAGGACAAAGCACAATCTTCAAGTACATCAACTACGCACACCAGACACAGGACCCACTTCAGTCGTACGGAGGCGATAATCAGGACTTCTTGGAGAAGGTGGCTCAGACTTATGACCCCAACGGCTTCTTCCAACATCGGGTGTCAGGAGGGTTCAAAATTTCCAAAAGCAATAGAGCCTGACTGACAGATGAGGATTATCGAAAGATTTTCATGCATATACCCCGAACTCAGTGCCTCGCTCAAGTAATCTTATTTAACACCTCATTCCCTCTCTAGATATCAGTAACACTCATGAACCGTTCTTTCCGTGACACCTCTTCGCGATACCTTCACGTGCACAGCTGGGCGTAAGGTGCCTTGATTATATTCTAAATCTTCCTTACAACAAATTCTTCCATCGTAAAAAGCAGTGACTGCAAATTTTAGAGATGGTCTTGAATCTTGTTGGCTCCAAGGCCCATCAATTCTGTGGAGCTGAATTTACGGCCACAGCGGACGCTGACTGATAGGTATGACGATCTCTTACAGTCTGTGGCTGAATGTGCATTAGCAGGGCGGAAATTAACGTTTGACGTCGACATGATTCATTACGAGAACGGTTATTGTTGGAGGACTAATGTGCAAAATGGGCCTCAATTCTTCCCGAACTCGAAATCTTTTTTTGATTCAACCAGGATGAGCCAAGACGACTTGTGATTTTGTATTAAAACGAGTGCAGCACAAAATTCAAGCCATCTTGATGCAGACCTTGCCGATATGAGTGCCGCTGGTGAGATACTCAAAGGCGGCGATGATCTCGTCTCTACTGGATCCGAACTCCCTCTCGACAGGAACCTGCAATTGACGGGTGACAACGTAACGGGTGACTTCCTCCAAGTGCTGCCGCGATCCCACCATGATACCTCGCACAATCGCGCCTTTGGACAAGGCGAGTGCTGCGACGTCAGGCATCTTTTCCTGCGGGCATGACGCAAGGAATCCAATCACGGCGATGGACCCCCCGTACGCCACGGCATTGATGCTCTCGGCAATCGTACCAGCACCGCCATTCTCAAATACGTAGTCGGCGCCATGGCCCTCTGTAATCCTCAAGACATCCTCCGACCACTTTGGGGTCTTCTTGTAGTTGATCACATGGTCAGGGCCGTAGGTCTCCTTCACGTGTTGCAACTTCGAATCTGAGGAAGAAGTGATGATGGTGGTTGCTCCGGCTGCTTTGGCGAGGATGAGGCCGGTAATGGAAACACCACCAGTTCCTGGGTGGCAAGTCAGGTCTTTGATGTATTTTTCAGGGCAAGTGGGATCGAATATAATTACCAAGAAACAAGACAGTCTGGCCAGGCTTGAGAGCTATGTTGCCATAGAGAGAATTCCAAGCAGTCGTTCCAGTGCAGACCAGCGCCGATAGCTGGGAGTAGCTCAGCTTAGTCTCCTTAGGCACCTTGACTAATGCAGAGCTTGGAAGAACAATGTACTCCCGCAGGGCACCATCTACACAGCCCCCAAGACTGTGATTCCAGTCTTTCATGGCGCCATAAAGTGTGCTCAGATCAAAAGACGAGATCACTTTGTCGCCATGGGCGAAGTCGTCAACGTGGCTTCCCACTTTAACAACATCGCCAGACAGATCGGAACCGGGGACCACGTTGTCTTTGACCGGGAACGGGTACTGTCCGGTCGCAACGGCGAAATCGCGGAAATTGAGAGCGACACTGCGAATGCGGACCAGAACTTCGTTCGAGGAGGGTTCTGGGATTGGCTCCGTCCCAACAACGAGGTCGTTGACGGATGTGCGCTGAGGAAGTCTGAAAACCTGCTGAGTTGCCATTTTGAAGGTGTAGTTGTGATGGGTTATCGTGGAGTTTGGTGAATGAGCAGGATGTCTGGACTCAAAGTGAATGACCGAGAGCTAGCAAAGCTTATGAGAGCAGGCTAGTTGATCAATATTATATATAGAAAAGTCTTGTTCAAATCCACTCTCATGTTTGATGCAACGTCTTAAACTTGCTGATAAATATGTCTTGAGATGACGAACCGGCAGTCACTTGTCTCCAGTGGACACCGAGCTCTGAGAGGCGTATCATTGAACCGCCAGACCATGACATTACCTCAACTAAGCATCATGACTCAAAGAAGATCACAATATGATTCGACAGACTGATTTAATACGTCATTAAAACTTATTTTCTGGCTGGACTACTGTGTTCAGATGTTGGTATCTGGGTCTTGAGCGCGTGTAATTTCTTCTCCAACTTTGGGGTGAAAATCATCCACCCATCCCACCGGCATCATTGCATCCCCGGCCTTGGCGTCAGGCCGTAGGCTCCATATGTCAGACACGCTTGCTTCGAGATTGAATTGAAAGGCGAACACTAGCCGGACTCTCCTGGGTTTTATGTTGATCTACGTACCTGAGATCACAATGGTTCAACATATTAGTCTTCGTGTACCCGGTCTCGGATCAACCAAGCAAAGCATCTGCCCCCTCGACCAGGTGCACGAAGCTTGATTCAAAAGGGCCGTGATCTGTTCGACACATGTGCTGCCATGGTATTTGTTTCCTAAGGTAAGATTAACGCGAGCAAACCTTTTCTCCATGGTTGAAGAAATCGAGTTATTGGAATCAACGGGCCTTTATTCACAAAGAGGTAAATTTTTCTATAAACAGTGGCGCGATTCTAAATAAGTTATTAAGAGCTCGCTTCCTGATTCCTGAAATTGCAAAACACGCAAAATCTTTTCGTCTTCTAAGTGCAGCGTCCAGAGCCAGGTTGGCTGCATTGAAACATAAGTTAGTATGGAAGAATTCGTTTGCGGACTAGGACAGCAAAACTCACCAGCCAGTTCCGCAATGCGAAGAGCTCGTTCCACAAAACCCTGAAGAGCTACAACACTGACCATCAAAAGGCCCACCAGCACATGTGAAACCTCCCTTGCTAGAGCCGCAAGTGCCATCAACAGACGGGATGTTGGCTGTGAGGCAGCCGCTCGATGAATCTTTTTGGCTATGATAGATACGACGTCAGCAATAAAGTCCAGCATTTCGCACCTCATTTGATGCAAAAAAGAGAGAAAAGTCAAATACTAGACACGCAAAAACTGAACTGAAACGTACCATCCCTGGCCACAATGAGCGCCAGTGCTTCCACAATAGCCTCCACTTGAGCAGCAGTTTCCAAGACCAGATCCAGCGCATGTCTTGCCGTTTTTCGTGCCGCAAACTGCATCACTTGAGATTCCAGTGCAAAGGCCGTAAGACAGCTGGCAGCCATTGCGACAATGGTCGGTGCTTTTTCCGCAGTAACCATTGGAAGAGCAGCAGTCACCAAAGGTTGAACCTTTGCAAGTCTTGCCATTCTTCGAACCGCAATTTCCATCGGTTGAGATGCTTGAGGCGCCCTCGTTACAGGTTCCAAAGGATGGGTTGCAACCAGCATCGCAGTGCTCGGAAGATTTACCACAGAACCCGCCAGACGAGCAACAATCTCCAAAGGCTGAACCCTTGCATGTTTTGCCGTTCTTACCGCAAGTTCCATCCGTGGAAATGCTTCCAGCAGCTGTGTTGCAGGTACCAAATGATGCATTGCAACCGGCATCGCAGTGGTCAGATGACTTGCCACAGTAGCCACCGGAAGAGCAGCAATCGCCAAATGCAGAGCCCTTGCAGGTCTTCCCGTTCTTGCCACATTGACCGTCAGCAGAGATACCGCTGGCAGCTTCATTACAAGTGCCAAACGCAGCATTGCAACCAGCATCGCAATGAGCGGTAGATTTGCCGCAGAATCCAGTGGAAGAACAGCAATCCCCGAAGGAAGAACCCTTACAGGTCTTTCCGTTTGTCCCACAAGTACCATCAGTGGAAACGTTGTCTTCTGCGCCACATGTGCCAAACTGAGACTGGCAGCCCGCCTGGCAATGGTCTTTGGAAGTGCCACAGAAGCCGCCAGAGGAGCAGCAGTCGCCAAACTTGGACCCCTTGCATGTCTTGCCATTCTTCCCGCATGTTCCATCCGTAGAGATACTGCCCGAGTCCGCGTTGGAACAGGTGCCAAAGGCCGCATTACAGCCAGCATCGCAGTGATCAGAGGATGTTCCACAGTAACCACCGGATGAGCAGCAGTCTCCAAATGTTGACCCCAAACACGTCTTGCCATTGGAGCCGCACTGGCCATCAGAGCTGACATTGGTCGTCGCACCACATGTGCCAAAAAGGTCTTGACAACCACTTCCACAGTGGCCCAAAGTGGTACCACAGTAGCCGCTCGAAGAGCAGCAGTCTCCGAAGGGGGAAGTCGTGCAGTTATACTGATTCGCTCCGCCACATGAGCCGTCGGGAGAGATACTCCCGGGCCCGGGTGGTGGGGCGGGAGCAGGTGCGGGCGCGTTGCAGTTACCGGCGGCTGGTTGACTGTGTCCGGTGTAAGTCGAGTGATCAGCTGACACATGTGCCAGGACAGTAAATAAGGTATGAGACATAAGGCTTACCAACCATCGCCGCAGAATGCAGCAGAACGACCGCATTTACCATCCTTGGAACAGCAGGCGCCCCAGACAGGGCTACATACGAAACCAGTTGTACCTCCGCAGGTTCCATCTGGCGTGACTTCTCCAGTCTGCCATGGTGACAGTGTTGCGGTTGTAACTGTGACGCTTTGAGACGTGACCAAGGCCGGCAAAAGCCAGCAGAATATAGCTGCCTTCATGTCGAGCACGGAATTGGGAAAAGACAAGGACTTTTCTTTCGTAACTAAGTAAGGTAGGTTCACGATGCAATTCGTGGTCTTGGAGAGCGAACAGGTTTACAGATTTTATATACACCATATTCCCAAGTAGACATCTCCAGAGATTGAATATGAATAAATGCTCCTTGGATGGAAGTACGGACTACTTGGACTTGGCATTGCTCGGAAGGTTGTCCTCATTCAGCATTTCGCCCCATCGCAGGCAATAGTGCCACGGTCTTACGCTAAGAGTCCGAGGGAACCACTTGATGATTTTAATGGCCCCTGGGATGACGGCCCATAATTTAGACCATAGACTCTGAAGCGGTGGCTCATTCGCATATTACGTAAAGCATCAATGTTGGCGATTCAGCATCACACCCGCATGTGAAGTGGAATTAGAGTCCCTGTTCCTGATGCCTAGCAAGGATGCTGATCCTGTAGCTCTCCACCGGATCTGGCTGGATAGAGCCAAGCTTTGCGGTCCGGGCCAAGGAAAGAAATCTACATGCATCGGCATCCCGCACTTGCCTCAACTTGGTAGGTATCGGGCTGCGATGGGGCTCTCACAGCTCAAATTTGAGGGCTGGACGGCTTGGCTATAGTCAGACGGCCTCACAGTTTCTACCATAGCCGTGGGGCCGCACCTTTTCCGTGTTCTAGTGCCTCGGCATGCATAGAAGGGATGACAGAATACGAATTGCTAACAATTGCGGTAATTACAGCGCCTGCGCAAATGATGATTATGGAGTTATCAAGGGGATAAGAAGGAATACGATCGTTGCAGGGTAACATAGTTGATGACGGTTTTACCTAATGAACATGAAAATCTCGGTTAGATGATGGATGGGAAAAGTTTTTTTGAATCCAATGAATTGGCCGGACAGATGACATCTGGTTGCGATGACAAGTAGTGTTATAAATACAGTGATACAGGTGAATCGCCCCAGAGTTCCAAAAGATGCATCGTCGAGCACTATCATAGTCGTTATATCTAGCTTCATGATGTCGAAGCTATCCAGCTTCGCCTCTTTGGCGTTCGTTCTCTATTCTTTTTGTTTCATCACACTCATTCATGCCGACGTCGCTCAATTCCCCCCCGGCCGCCGGCTTCATGCTCAAAACGGGTTCGTACGACGGTCCAATGTCATAGGTGAGTTCGACTTTGTCACTTGAATTTGATTCGATCATGATTTGACTGGAGACATGCATAACTGATACTCGTCCCCAAAAATTAGCAAAAGCACCGGAATGGGCTAAGGAGATTTCCCAGAGCCCAGCTCATCAGAACCCATCCAAGGCCCCACCAGTCCCGACTAAAGATCTTGAACTTTCACAAGACTCTGCGACGAGCCTCGAGCAATACTACGAAGACTCAAAAAATGCTTCCTTCATCGACAATACATCCAGACGGTCATTGAGCTCCCGCGCTCTCGAGAAACGTGGCCCCCTTTACTGCAAAGATGGTCCATGTGTCGATGGAAGGTTAGTCACTGTCTTCACAGCCTAATGGCTATCTAAGTATGAAGCACTTAAGACGGAAGACTGATTCTAATTTTTTTTAAGCTGCTGTGGTCCCGATAGCATATGCGGATATGGCCCCGACTTTTGCGGGAAAGGATGTCAGTCCCAGTGCGATGCAACTGCCATGTGCGGAGAATACAGTGAGAACGCCGATATGCCATGCGGCATGAATCTCTGCTGCTCGCAATCTGGCTGGTGTGGTGTGAGTACTTTTCCACGACCTGTATTGTACCCTCGTGCGCTTTCGAGAGACTGATAACTACTTTCCATCAGACCACCGAGGTCTTCTGCCACAACGCCGACCCAATCAACCTCAGTGCACCTTGCCAGGCCGGTTATGGCTCTTGTTCCATCGCTTCTACCCCATCATGCGCAAAAGGCGGCGGGAGCACAAATGGCCGCACGATCGGATACTACCAGTCATGGAACGTGAGGACCCGGAAATGCGATACCAAGACTCCCAAGCAGCTTGATACCAAGGGCTTCACCCATCTGTTCTACTCCTTTGCATTCATCGATCCAACTTCATTCGCCGTTGTTCCAGCCCACGACGACGACCCTACTCAGATGCGGGAATTCACCG